GTTTGTACTCCCTCCCCTTCCCTACCCCGAATATGGCAACACTAGCAATACCCCATGACTACAATCTTCCCCACTCGCATCAGGGAAGGCTACCATGTCCCGATGGGCTTTGGCCCCAGTAATCTGCCGATGCCGCCGGGCTCTCCACACGGGTACATTTTCCGGTTTTGTATAACAAAAAATCTGAAAACTTGAAATAAAGAATTTATAAAAGAATTACAACCCTATTTTATTTGGGGTTTTCTCTAAGTTGTCGTCAATGGATCCCCCAGAAACGGATACTGCAGGTTCCTGGACTGGACTGACGGGCTCCTCAGTGACATATTAATTTGCCCGCCCCGGTCTTATACCTCTCACTGTAGTGTCATCATACGCGTTCCCTGAGGAAGTGGCCACGTCGGTGCCATGAAACGCGTAGACGGGGTACCATCCTTGTGCTGATGTTCATTGAAAGCCAGTGGAGGGATTGGCAGAGAGGGTCAGGGGTTTGACGCCAGTTGAGGGATTGGTATAGAGGGGTGGAGGATGGTAACCAGTAGAGGGATCGGCAGAGAGGTGGGATTGGTAGAGAGGGGATGGAAGCCAGTGGAGGGATTGGCAGAGAGTGGTGAGGAATGGAAGTCGGAGGGATTGGCAGAGAGGAACGGGAGGAATGGAAGCCAGTGGAGGTATTGGCTGAGCGGTGGGGAATGGAAGTCGGTGGAGGGATTGGTAGAGGGGGAGTGAGGAATGGAAGTCGGTGGAGGTATTGGTAGAGAGGGGTGGGGAATGGAAGTCGGTGGAGGGACTGGAAGAGGGGGGATGAGGAATAAAAGTCGGCAGAGGGACTGGAAGAGGGGGATGAGGAATGGAAGTCGGTGGAGGGATTGGTAGAGGGGGAGTGAGGAATGGAAGTCGGCGGAGGGATTGGTAGAGTGGGGTGGGGAATGGAAGTTGGTGGAGGGATTGGAAGAGGGGGTGAGGAATGGAAGTTGGTGGAGGGATTGGTAGAGAGGGGGGAGGAATGGAAGTCGGGGGAGGGATTGGTAGAGAGGGGTGAGGAATGGAAGTTGGTGGAGGGATTGGCAGAGAGGGGTGAGGAATGGAAGTCGGTGGAGGGATTGGCTGAGAGGGGTGAGGAATGGAAGTCGGTGGAGGGATTGGCAGAGAGGGGTGAGGAATGGAAGTCGGTGGAGGGACTGGAAGAGGGGGAGTGAGGAATGGAAGGCGGTGGAGGTATTGGCTGAGAGGGGTGGGGAATGGAAGTTGGTGGAGGCATTGGCTGAGAGGGGTGAGGAATGGAAGTCGGTGGAGGGAT